CAGAGGTCAGGCTGGTCTGCCAGACTGACTGACGTGGTTCAGTTTGTCAGGCAAAATGGGGAGGGGTCTTGGGGATGCTGACCTCCTCCTTCTTCTCCCATAGTTCCAAATGGAATTGAATCCAGACGTGTCCTGTTGCACTGCTGCAATTATATGTGGCTTCCTGAGGATGCAGCTTGTTTCTAAGGTGATATTTTGCGAGAAAAATAAAAGAGTTTAATTATGATTTTCTGAGAAATGTGGTGTCTATGTAACCTCAGAGTGAGACAAGTGTGTTCAGAAAGGAGACTTTCCTATGTAAAGGACCCATAGAAACACTCTACAACCTGTTTGCTTGCTTATTTTTAGCCAGAGAAGCAGTGGTGGAGAAGGTGTTCAAGGTGCACGTTTAGGAGGAGGGAGAGGAGGCTGCTGCTTCCCCTGCTGCTGTCCAAGAGGATACTCTGCTCCTGTTACAGGTAACAGAGTTGCTGCCACCTTCCCTCTGTGCACGGGGGCAGAAGCTGCCCCTGGACACCGTTACTCCAATGCTGCCACCTCCCAGCAGCATCCCCAGTTTCAGTGAAATTGGTCTGCTTGTGGAGAGCTCTTCAGTGTGATGACACACGGTCCCTTTGGGGCAGAGCTCATGGGCACAGAACTTCATGTCAAAAGTCTGAGTTTGGGAACAAACGTTGTCACCGTAGGAAGAAGCCAGAGTAGAATCCAGCAATCTCCAAACTTCTCCTTGCCTGCAGCGTATTGTCATCCCTAATTATGAAATGCAGAATATGTATGAAATGTCTCACCTCTCTGAACATGAAAGCCTTTGCAGAGCCTTGCTAACGCTTCCCACTGCTAAGCCAGGCTTTCAAGGTTCTCCCTGCTTTGGCTGGGCCTCGCACTGTGCTTCATTTCAGTGTGTCCCAAGCCAACAGTTTTCATTTTGTGCTTTTACCATGTGTGGTTTTGGGGTTTTTTTTTCTTCATTCTTTCTTCTCTCATCAACCAATACTGACTGAGAAAAGGGACACGGTGTGATCCTGAACACACCAAGGATGGCACTCGTTCCCCGTTGCCCAGCATGGGGAGACTGAGCTCCGGGGGGTCAGGAGTTTGTGTGGGGCCAGCAGGGTTCCAAGCAGGAGACTGCAAAGCCCTACAGGTGCTCACCCACCTCACTGTGCTGCTCCCAGCACCCCAGCAGTCCTGAGCCTTCCTCCAGGGTGGGGACAAAGCGCAGCCCATCGGCGTAACATGGGGCCAGAGGGGGTTCCAATCCAGCAGCAGAAGGGGACAAAGTCACGAGAACAAAACCCACTTTGTGAATACAGAATTGAGGGCACCTCCTGTTGGGTTGTAGTGAGTCATGCTAAAGGCTGTAGGAGGGAATAAATCAGTCCAAAAGTATTTAATTTCTCAAGTGAGTGCAACTCTTGAGATCCAAAATGCTTCTCCTTTCCTCCCAGGCAATTACCAAACAGAACGCTGATTTTACTGCAGCACTTTTCTGACTGCTTAAGAAAGATGTTAAAAGGACTCAAGCAAAACGTTGATTGTATTTTTGCAGAGAGAGAGAAAAATTAATAATATTTATTAGATTAAGATAAGAACAAAACCCACCTGACTCTGTGATTACTGCTTGGCAGAGCAATCAGGTCTAAGCCAAATGTCAGCTTAGAAAACAGAAAAGAAACCCCTGAGGATGAAAATGACTCAGAGAGGGCAAAGCAGAGAGTAAGTTTGGGAAGAAGTGATCTTGTGCATGAGGGGAGAGCACCTGAGCTCCTGGCTCACTGTTAAATACGAGTCAATGGAGACTATTGGTAAATTCACACTAACAGCAGCCATCAGTGAGACTCCAGGACATTGCACTGCTGCTGGCATGAAGTGGGCATGGGAACCTTACAAACAATGATGAATAACGTGATGATGTGTTTTCAGCTTCATCTTTGTTAGCAGGGGGCTCTGGGTTAACGGGGTGGTTAGGGAAAGGAGGAGGAGATTGTTAACAGGAAAAAGAAAGTCTTAGAGGTGGTGGGCTCACCTGAAGCTAAGCCCAGCTGGTTTGCTCTTAAACTTCAGAGCCAAAGTGCAGAAAGCTGTAGCTGTGGCAGCAACTCTGCCCTTATTTACACTTGAGCAGCCCTCTGTCTGCTCTGAGCTGCCTTTATCCGTGTATCTCCCCTAATTCAGCTAGAACTTAGCTACCTGTTTGCAGTTCAGTTGTGCTCAACACCCCCTTAACAAGCCAGGGCTCTGGACATGGGGCCAAACTGCAGCTCTGCACCCAGACCAGGAGGAGCTGCATGGTGGTGTGGCTGAGCTCCGCTGGCAGTTGGACGCAGCGCTGAGGTATGTGTGTGTGCTGCGGGGTTTGGGCTGGGGAGCTCAAGAGTTAGATTGGCTCACTGAGGTGTTCAGTGGAAGCACAGCCTCGTGTGACTGTTGGCTTTCAGGCAGGTTGGTTCTGGTGGTGGTGACAAGCAGGACCTGGTTGTCCTGCAGCCTGAAGTTGGGTCTGTAATGGCGGCACTATGGAGCCTTCCTTGAGCTCCTCTGCAAATGCGGGTTTGCCTTCCCTGCTGCTTCTCCTTCTGGCTCCTTGTCCTTCCCAGCAATGGAAGCTCACATCCTATGCTCCATCAGGCCGGACTCCTTGCCCTGCAGCACCCTGAGTGTGGAAGCTTTGGGAGAGGGAAAAGCAGAACAGGGACCTCAATGTGGAGGGCACAGCTGAGCAGTCAGACACCAGGCACCCTGTGCCTTGCTGCTGAGGTGGCTGATCAGGGGAGAAAGCAACAGAACCTCTCTGCTATGTTAGTTAATGTCCTCCATCAGCACGGTGAGGGGACTGGAGCAGCTCTGAGCTCTCCATTTTGGTGTAGCATCGCCTGCATTCAGACAGAACAGTAAAACAGCAGCTAAAACCACTTCTGGTGGTTTCCTTCCGTTTGTGTGTCTCTCAGTGTGTTGGCAAAGCAGCTCTCAGCCTTCACCTGCTTCCCATGCCCCGGTTGAGGCTATGGGGCCAGGAGGGGTCGGCAGTCAGGAATAGATTTGGGGATCCTGGGTCTGCACAGGGGGCGCTGAGCTCCCCCACGGCCGATGCCTCTCTCAGAGCGGAGCCCACCGCGCACAGCACCTCTCCCAACCCTTTTCTCTTTGGGAGCTGCCTTTGTTTGGCTGCCGGGAGGTCCCTCGAACCCACCACCCTTCCAGATGCGAAAAGGCAAATTGGGATACCGCAATTAGCGACGTGTAACGAAGCCTTGTACTTCGTTAATGTCGGAGGAGGAATCAGCCGCGGCTACAAGGACAATTAGATCTTAGATAGCTCCTTTGATTCGCGTTCCTGCTGTGCGGATGGGAGGAAGGCTGCCTGCCCGCTCCTCGCCTTCTCTTTCGCCCCGCGGAAAGCACACCCACTGCAAGTTGTCCTTTGATCGATTTTTAATATGATTTTAAAGAGTTTTGTTTGGGCCTCATTCTTATTCAATGAGATTAATTTAAAGCACTTATCCCCTGGGTTTAAGTCAATCCATGTCGGATTGGGGACGGGGTTTGTTGCCCGCGGAGGGGGCTGTTTGCAGGGCGCTCTGAAAGACTCCTTTCCCACTTCATTAACCCGGAGCCGGGAGAAACCCCCCCCCCTGCCCTCTCAACCCCCCCAATTCTTCCTCCTCGCCGAGGTTCGGGGATTTACCAAACTCCCCCATTCACATGCAAAGGATCCGCTCCGGCCACAAAAGCCGGGGCTCTCCGCTCGGAGCGTGGCCGCGCATTTCTCGGAGCCCCCAACCCAAAGCTCCGGGGACGGGGCGGGGAGAGGCGCGGAGTTTTGCTCTGCTTCGGGGGGGGGGGGGGGGGGGGGTTCGGGGCCGACCGCAGCCCGCAGCCCATCTGTCGGCTCCCGGAGCCCGAGAGCCGCTGCCCGGCTGTCCCGGAGCAGCTGCCTGGCCCACGGCCTCAACCATCTGAGCGACACTTTTCAAGGGTGGAAACAATCCATTTTCCAAAGCGATCATTTAAAGCACTTAGGCAATTATACGCTTAAGATTAGCGTTAATAATTCACCGGGCGGATGCCGGCAGTGGGAGCGAACCCCGCTTTCCCCCGAGGAGGCGGGGGGGGGGGGGGGGGGAAAACACCCCGCCGCCGGGAGGAGCCGTTCGTGTGTAAAGAAGTTTATTTTCACATTTAAAAAAGGGGGGGACGGAAGCGGGAGCTGCCCCCGAGCTCCCCCCGCCCCGGCCGGGCCGGCCCCGGGATACAGACGGACAAAGCATCACTTACACAAATACGCCCTCAGGGTTCACAAATAAATAATTCATATACATTTTGCGCACCGTATTTACATTCGCCGCTTTTTGTTTCTTTTTTTTTTTTTTTTTTTTTCCCTTTTCCCCCCCGCCCCCGTTTTTTTTTTTTTTTTTTTTTTTTCTTTTTCCCCTTTTTTTCCTTATTATTATTTTTTTTTGTTGTTCCGGTTACGGAGCTCCCAAAGTGTCGCTGCGGCGGAGGTTGGGGTTCGGTACCCCCCTGGTTCTTCCCTATCCCGGAGCGGAGCCGGGACGGTTGGGGAGGGGCCTCCCTGGCTCCGGCCGTACTGGGGTTCGGGCCGGGCAATTGCTTGGAAAGAAGCCTTCCAACCCCCTCCTCCCCCCCGGCAGCCCCTCCCCGTGACCCCGGTGCAGCCTCGGATTGGGCGGGGGGCTGGGGAGGGACCCACATCGCTGCCCCCCGAGGGCACAACGGAGTAAAGCGGCCGCAGTCCCGGAGCCCCCGGGTTGGGGGGGGAGGGGGGGGAGCGGCTTTTTCTGTTCTTTCGTACTTCATATATTAAAAAAAGGTGGTGGTGTGTGCGTGTGTGTGTGTGTGGAGGGGGGGGGGGGGTCTCGTTTATATATATATATATATTTATATGTAGGGGGGAAGCGGGAGTCTTTCGCTTGCTCGAGGCCCCAGGGCTGGGCTGGCCCTCTCCGGCCCCCCCCACGCCCGGGGATCGGGGCCGGGGCTCACCGGGGCTGCGCGGCCCGGGGCAGAACGCCGGGCAGCGGGGGTAGGGGCGGGGGGGGCTCGCTGCCGCCCTGCAGTCCGTGGATGAGGATGCGGGGCACCAAAGGTCTCTGTAGGGCCGGGGGCGGAGCGCTGGGTCCGCGGTACAGGTAGAGGGCGGCGCCGGGGTCCAGGTTGGAGACCAAACTCTGCGGGTAGAAGTAGGGCGAGGGGAACATCCTCTGCAGGGCTGAGTAGTTGCCAGCCTCGGCCAGCAGCTCCAGGCCCACCGCCGTCTGCCTTTTCCATTTGGTCCTGGAGGGGGGACAAGCCGAAACAGGGGGGTCAGGGATGGGGATGCTCTGAAGGACGCTCCCTGTTCTTCCCCCCGCCCTTGCGTATCCTCTTCTCTCAGGCTCTGCTCCCTTGCTGCTGGATCCCGGGGCGTCCGGGATGGGATGGGATGGAGGGACGTAGCCCTCATTAAAGGGACGAGAGGATTTAGCTGTCCTCGGGCAGCCCGGAGGCACGGGAGCCCTAAAGCGGCCGCGATACAAATCACTGCGTTCCAAACCGCGACCGATACGGTCCACCTTTCCCGGTGCGCAGCCCGCGGGTAACGAATCCCGCACCGCGTTGGGTGCATATCGTGCGGGATGCGCACCGGGCAGCTCCGCCGGCACCGAACCGCGCGGCGATGCGCAGAACCGGCACCGCAGCTCTCCTAAATCAGCGCGGAGCGCCCCGGGCCGCCCCTGGGGTCGGGAGTGACGCTACCGGGAAGAACCGCGGTGTCGGTGCTGTGCATTCGTTTGCGATCTGTATGTGTGGGTGCGTGTGTACGTATAT